AGAGCACTCAAAAAAAAAAAAAAGAAAAAAGAAAAAAAAATGTGTATCAAAGTTTCTTTCCGCATCCGTTGCATAAATTCTTTTTCTTATGACATAACAATCCTTCTGTTATCTAAATAAGATAATAAAAAGTTACTAAGAACATTTTAAAATATTTAATATGATTTAAAACCATTCTGTAAAATTTATATAATTCTTGAATTTTTTTTAAAAAACTAACGAATTAATTTTTATTCTTAATATATTGTAAAAGAAAGAGTAACAGTCTTCGATTTGTAGAATTTGTAAAATTTATTTCAAAAAAACATCGAATTTTATAATTATTGTAAGAGAAAGTGTCAATTAATGTCAGAATGATTAAAAAAAATATTAGAAAAAGCAATATTCGCAAAAGGAAATTGTAAATATACGAAACTTCAAATCAAGATATAAATTTTCAAGCCATCAATCAAAATAAGAATCTATTTTATCGGAACTATATATTTTATTTTTACACCTGATATATTACAAAAAGAAGAAAAAGCTGATTTAATATCAGATCGATTAAAAAAATATTACAATTCTTACAAAAAACTACACAACCCAATATATGAAATTTCGTTTCCAAGAAAATATACAAGTTTCGTTTCATCAAGTGAAATGAGAAGAAATACATCCAATGATGGAGAAAATTTAATAAGTTGAACAAAGTTACGAACAAAGTTACTTCGATAAATTATTTCGATAATTTATTGTTCAAAACGTAAATAATAATCGAAAATAATTGTAATTGGCAAACGATTTATACGAAAACTGGATCAATTATAATAGCTACGAATGTTATTCAATCAGCATTTTAATAAATAATTATTTGAAACAAATATTACATTTTTCAAATCACTGGTTACTTTTTCAACGCTCAATGCTGCGAGTACATCAGGCCGCTTGGCGTATGCAAATGTATAACGGGTGTCCCGCGACCAACTTCCTTCCTCTCCCTTCCTTCCTCAAATCGGCCTACGAAATTAAATGGAACCGCTCTGGTAATTGCCTCCTCTTATTCCAAGCTTTAATTAGTCGTCGACGATATCGCGAAACTTTCTTGCAGAGAGAGAGAGAGAGAGAGAGAGAGTGGCGCGAGAAACCCTTGCCGGAACAAGGAGGACAACATTCTTCACAAGCTAGCGCTTGAAATTCAGATAAGAAAAGCTTTCAGCGTCATCTTCGCCGTTCGCCGCATCTTTACTCTCGTTTTGCTACCCCACCAAGCCTGTAACTGCTTTGCATTGCTCTTCTCCCATTGTTTTTCGGCCGAACTGTATCGTTGACTTGTTCCAACGTTTTATTCGCTTGTACGCCTCGAGCTTGAAGTAAAAGTTTCCGATTCGAATGAGATAAATTCGATGGACGGAGCGAATTTTAAAGCGAAACTTTAGAAAATGAAATAAGTAATGGAAAATTGTTTGTTCGATTTTTTCGGAGGCGAGGAAGATAGAAAAAAAAATTAAGAATTGTATATACTCGATTTTTTTAAATTAACTTGCAACTTTTTGCACATTTTTTTTCAAATTGTATCTCCAGATCGAAGTATATATTTTATTCGTTTATACGTGTCGAGTTTAATATAAAAATTTCATGATGTGAATTATGATAAATGTGGACGAGTGAATTTTACCGAAACTTTGAGAAACTTTATTTTTTTATTTTTATTTATTTTTTTCTTGGAATAATTGAAAATTACGTACGTGCTTGATTTTGTTAAAAAGTTATTTTTATTCAAAGAATTAAAAATTTGGAAATGAAAAGTTTCGCAAAGTAAAATTGAAATAAATCCACTGTGATTTAGTTCAAATTTACTCGTTTCTCTTTAAATTGTATTTTATGGAAGGCTCTATTAAGATAACGAAAAGTTATTTAATACCGATCATTTACATTTAGTTAGGTGAAGTTTCCGCACTGGAAGTGCTACTACGAATTGTGAGATACTTAAAGCAACAAGTTTGTAAATTAACTAGAATTTTCGCCGTTCTAGGATCATAAATTAACCTTTTAACGATTTAGGAATTTCTTGGTAAAACGAAAAATTGTAACTCGTTATAATATCACAATCTCAAAATTAATTTTTTATATTAATGATATTTGTTGCTTAATTTTAATTACTCTTAACAGGTAAGCAGCTTTAACGATATAGATGATATATCGTTATAATAAATTGTGCAATCAACAGGACATTGTACCAGAGCCCCAGAAATTCTCCAACTTCGTGTAATT